ATTACGTAATAATGGAGACGCACGGTTCACGAACGGTTACGTGCGCGCGCGCAATCGAAATGTTCGCGCCAAGACTTTGTTAAAGATTTATGAACCGTAGCGCGGTTCGCGGAACTTTCAATGGCTACCGTGGATTCCAAGCACGGGGATTGGTCGCTAGCTAATATCACAGAAAATTAACCGGTCGCGCTTTATAGGTGAAATTCGACGCCCGTTAGAAAAAGAATCGGGTCGTGCGTCGGTAATAAACGGCCCGCGGTGAACGCAATGTGACGCAATTCTTGACACTTTACAATAAATAATACAACAGGGAGCGAGATTGTTTGGAAAGCTCGAAAGTCAAACAGCGTGAGTTGCATTTTCAATTTGATCCTTAACACTAGGTTTACGAACGTTTATTGTACAATTTATTCTACTGTTCCTATCAAAATTGAAGTTTAAAAATAAACGATTAGGATACATATTCGTGTAATTGCATCTATCGAAATCAACATAAACATTTACCAAATAATCTTTATAAAATTCTATAAACATTAAATCAACGTATTTCGTAAACCCAGTGTTAACTGCTACGACCGACCTGTTAGATTATTCAGAATTGCATAATCACAATGCACGGTCCACTATGTTAAAACTCCATATACCGTTCAATTATCTTATAATGTTCAATCCTGGATATTATGGACAGTTTCTGTTCATGTTTATATTTTATCATTGATTTATAAATCACCTGTGGTTTGAGAGACAGATTATAGCACTGAAGGGTTAAGCATTTAAGAAGCATTTCTATCATTAATATGTTGAGTTAAGAATGCAATTATATTGCTATCTTCGTACTGAATACTTAATTCCATAGGTAGTGCACCACTTGGTTTGTTAACTCGTAGTTTTAACAACAAAAACAGTTTTAAGCTGCGCAAAACGAAAATGTGACTTATATTAATGGATTTCTGAATCGTCCATTTATCACTGTTGCACCCCGAGTATAATGGGCCAACTGTTACGGGAAGTTAAGAAGCGCACACCCGTTATATGGAACAACTGAAGTGCGTTCGCTATGGCGGTAACGGTACTCTATTAACTTCATTTTCGAATTCCATTGCGGAGTTTCGCGCGTATTTACGGAATTCTCGATTCTACGGATCGTTTGCGCGCTTCCAGCGAGAAATTCTGTAACGAACGAACAATGTAACCTGTGATGTAATATTATGGTTATGCGGAGGCTTGATCCGTTCGGACACCAACGAAATAGAGGGGGGTCCCGTTAAATGCTCGTGGACTGAGACTAGAGACCTTGGATCCAGGAATCGGCAAGCAATGGCGTTAACAACTTGTGTGGTGTAAAAATATTGTATTACCTATACGCTACTATATCAAACACTGCGAAACATAGGCGAGGAATTTCTGTAAATGTGCACCTGACTGCGGGAATATCAAAAATTATATTTGAATTAATATTTCGACTGAAAAATATTGTTAGTTTATTGCAAGATTTCACATTTTTCTATCTGTACTCGATTGTAAATAAAATAAGTAAAAATATCGAATATTCGAAATATACACTACTGTTTATAGACATTTGCTTGTCCATGAGGAATTATTTAACTTAAAAATGTGAAACGTCATAAAAGTTTTAACATCCAATAATACTGGTTAAAATTTGATACATGTAGATATTTTAATGAAATTGAAAATGAATAATGTATAGGGAAAAGTTGTTAAATTTAAATCGGATTCAAGATCATAGCGTAGTATATACTTTTTGGCAGAAAGATGTTTGCAGTGTTATTAACTAACTTCGAATTATAAATTAGTTTAATCCGACAATCGATCCGAATAAGACTACTTTCACTTAAAGGTACTGCAACTGAATACTTCTGAAAAAGAAGTAAATTATTCGTTATCTCAAATTAATTTAATTTGACATTTTAATAGGAATATTTTCCGGTTCGTTGTCTTTTTTATTGGAATAAAATGAAGATCCGACAATTACAATATTTTGTATCTGACTGATGATGAATCGTGAATACATATCGGCTAGTTAGAGCTCTTAGATACGATAAGGATGATTCATGTGCATTTAACGGGTCCGTTAAGCAAGTATTTGACGTGTGCTTGCTAAAATGAAAATGACTGATCGTGGGAATTACTGTTCAGGCATTAGTCCTGATATCTAATTCATATCATAACTAGAAGACTGAAATCAAATAGGAATTTCTTTGTACAAGTACTTATAATAAATGTTTTTTTGTCTTCCTACCTTTGCATTTTACGTTAAACACAAAACGAGCTATGAGCTTGTTCTAATGAGCTATTTTCTATCGTTCACAAAGTTACTATTTATAGTGTAATATAAATTAACTTCATTGTTACTGTTATTTAATTATAACTGAATAAATGTTTTTTTCCCACGAAATTCTAACTACTTCTCATACAGAGTAACGGTTACGTTAGTTCTCATTACTTTAAGCACGCTTCGTATGTTTTCAATATCCATTACTTATTCTTTTTGAATATAACAATAAAGACGTAAACCGTACTATCTTCAATGAACAACTGTGTAAGTCCTATTCAACGGAATCTACGAATCACTCGATTCGTTGAATAATAGTGAACCACCTTTGCAACAATTTACTCAAATATCTCGCTACCCATTCAATGCAACTTCCCTCGAGTTTTAATTAAAAAACGTTACTCGCGCAAAGGAAGCGCGTAGGTGTAACGATCAACCTCGCGGGGATTGGAAGATACCGTACAGATGGTAGATACAGGGATTTCAACGCTCGTCGCCTATACAGGGTGTGTAGGAAATCGTAGAATGATCCAAGTGAGTTACGATGTGAAAATACTAATATAGAAGGTTTTGTTTTTAAAAGCAAATTACACGCAATACATGTGATACGCAGATACGATACTGCAAATAAAAATGATTATTAATAAGATTAAAATTCTTCTGTTTCTGATAACTGACCCAGTTATCAGAACTATTTGGGATTCTAACACATATTGTATTCACAAGACAATTTTTTGCGTATACTGTAATATTTTACAAAAACTGGAAGGATTTTATAAAATGAAAAAAAAATTGAAAGGTTATTCTTTACCTTCCGATTGAAATAAAACCCGTTTAAAAAATAGTTTCCAACACACCCGGTATACAGCAGAATAATATAAATTGTATTACCACAGGCGAAACAATTTTAAAAAATTCAAGAGAATTTTATAATAACAAAAAAAGGAAACAAAATGGAAATATTATTATTTACGTTTCAAATAAA